TGAAGCTCAGTGTCAAGGTATCCAGGCCAGCTGGTTCACAGTAGCAGTGGCACCAGGAGTGACAAGCTCGTTCAGCTACACGTGTTATTCTGTCCCATCGAGTCAGAACCGACGTCCGTCGTCTGCGGAGCAGTGTCTGCGGAGCAGCTGGTGGACTCGAACCGAGGGCCTTCGGTATTGCAGTGCAGCGTCTTGCCACTAGATCACCACAGCTCCCTACAGAACACGTGGTGCTTCTCAAAGCGCATCCACATTTTCGTGATCTAAGCACTCCAGCGCCAATTTAAGGAGGTTGGGCATCATCGTTGAGAAGAACCCACCCACCTGCTTGGCTTCTTAATGCCCATGACATTGAACAGGTGATGTTTGCAGGTCTACAAGCAGCCTCTGCAGGACCCTATGCAGAAGTCCTCAAGAATAATGTGCTGGGGAAAATGAATTATTATTACCATCCTTGTTATGTGCCCTCTCCAGTTGACTACACCTCATATGAACACCGGCTCTGAACCCTGCCCTGTCCTGAGCCAACCTCACTGACTTTGACACACCTGACCCCATTGCCCCAGTCACTGTGTTAGTTTATCCTTGTGTGTTTATCTTGTTTGACCTCTTCTGCCCGCCACTCTCAGAGTAAGGACTTCTGCTCCGGCTGACCTGGCCTTAACGGTTGCTGGTAGCTTCTGCAGCAGCTATGCACTGCAGTGAGTATTCAAGGACCTGTGTGCCTACACTCCTGCAGCTGCTGTCCACAGTCGTCGTTCCTGTCTCCTGCACGTCAGTACAGTCCCTAGACAGGGTAGGGTTGAAGGCCTGGGCAACGCTAAGCTAGAGTGCTGGGGCCACGCTCCAATTGCTCATCTTCTCTGGAACTTGGGATTTCCTTGGTGGGTCCAACCAAGTTCTGGGGAATTCTCTGTGTCCTCAACCACTGTCATTGTCCCTTCAGTCCTGAGGCACGTCCTTTTGGAGCTCGAGTTGAACTTTGTGGACAGAAATCTTTTTGAGGCAAGAATCCACTTCTCCATTTCCAACACTGACTGAATCCTGGGCAGGTCCTAAGTACTGGGTACTGAGACCAGTAGTCAGGTGAGGAGTTGGATTCTCACAGCTACTTCTTCACAGGACGTCTGTAGGGTTGGGGGATGCTCTGTCTCTGAAAGGATGTTCAGTATAGAGCTGCCAGGCTCTGCTGACTTTCCTATCTGTCCGCTGGGGCCTAAATCTATTTCTTAGTGCTGTGTAAGAAAGGCCTGGCCACCTGCTTCCATCAAGAATATAGTCAGACAAACTCTGTGGAGCAGTTAGTTGTACTTTTGTAGTGCAAGAGTCGCCACGAGTCCGCAATGAACAAAACAAATATTTGTGTGCTCCTTTCATAGTGGGGAAGAAGGGGCACTTGTCCCTTCCACAGGAGATGCCCGGAGCCACCCTTGTCTGCACCGGATATTTTAGCTCCTGTTCCTGGGCTCGGTTCTAGTAAGTCACTAATAATAATAGGCAGAGAGGCTTCATGTAGAAATCACCTAAAATGAAAACACCCCGTCCTCCTTTTCCGGTACCAGGCATCAGGCAGCTAACTCCAGGTTCTCTCAGCTTCTTTCCTGTGGCCCCCAAAAGTCACTTATGTTCAGAAATGGAATACAACCCTAGTCACCCTATGTAGCCTGTGCTCACTCCAGAATATCCACAGAGTGGCTGAGGGCCTCCGAGTCAGCCACACGAAATGAAAAATCCGTGAAATGTTGCTCATCCTGAGGCCAGCAGGGCACTCACTCACTCACAAACTATTCTCACTCCCTCGCCCTTAACATACACACAGCATGCGACATTGGGCAGCGGATCCCATCTCATTTCCCAGAAAAGTATTCGTGGGTTGGGTCTGAAATCTTGGGTTCAGCATCGACCTGGTGGCACCAAGTTTAACCTTTCCCCCCAAAGTCCAGCCTTGACTTACCTATCTGTAAAGTGGGTGGTCAGACTGCAGGCTAAAGACCGGGTGCTGTGAGGAGGATGAGAGTGTGGAAGAAGAGTCTAGTTGGGCTGGGCTCAGGCGGCTGTGGCCATACCTAGTGGAAGCCTAGGGGCGCACAGCGCTCGGGGGCTCACAGCGCAGGGAGCGCTGGAGAAAGGACCTGAAAGGGAGCAGGACAGATGTATTCTCACCTCATAAGAACCAGGAAGATGCAGACTGAAGTTGAGACTTGGAACTATACCGGCTCCCAAAGCAAGCGCTGTTGCTGCCCAGAGGCCCAGAAGGGCCCGCTCCTGGTCTTGGGTCCGGAACGCAGTGGGACTTTGTAGGAGGCTGGGGTACCCCTGGGGCCCGCTCAGGGCTGAGGCTTGAGGCACCAGCCAGATTGTACCGAATTCGTTTGAGTCATTTTCCGCAGGCGTCTCAATCCAGCTCCGAGAAGGCAGGAACCCTGGAAGGGACCAGCCCCCGGACTGCTGGGGTGGAGAGGGGAAGGGTCTACGGCAGGAGAAAATGTCCCACTATGGATCTGGGGGCCAGAGGCTTTCTTTTTCTACTTGGAAGAAAGCTTTTCCCATTCTCTCACCCTCAAATTTGCGGGCAGGGAAAATTCTGCAGCCCCAAACAACAGCTTTTCGAAGAAAGAGAAAAATCTATCCCTTCTCCCACGCAGAACAACAATCTGTTCCCACACCTCCTCCCCAAGAAACAAAACCCGAAACCAGCACAAAGCGAAACCCTCAGTAGTGGCGCCCCTGGGGAGACACGAAGGGAGAATATTCTCGCATTATCGAAAACGTTCTCTTTTTTTTTTTAAACAAGGAAAACGTATTCATGATGAATCTAAAAAAATGGAAATAAAAATTTCACAAATTTCCGAAAGAAACGAAATTACTTGCAGGAACTGCTGGGAGATGGTGGGCCGGGCGCCGAGGGGCTGCGGACTCGAGGATCTGGGCCTTGCGCTGTTCCCCGGAACCGGAGCAGGTTGTAACCTGTGGGTCCACATGCTCCGCCGCAGCCCGGGGTTCCTGGGGCGGAGGGAGGCGCGGCCCGGCCTTTTGGGGTGTCCAGGCCCAAGGCCCAGAACCCCGGCGGCGGGTGCAGCGCAGGGTGGCTTGGGAGCTCTGACTAAAGTCAGAGGCTTGGCTTCCGTGTCCCCTGGGCCTCCGAGTTTGCAATGTGGCATTAACTCTCCACCGCGCGCGCCACCCGTGAGGGGACAGGCGCGCTGGTCAGCGCAGGGAGTCTGCGATTCTGGGGTCCCGGCAGCCACCCCAGCGTGCTCCCCTGTAAACAAGGTCATAAATAACCCTGGCCGTGTTCAACCCCGCTCCCTGTGTGGGCTTCTGGCCAGGTCAAAGGATAGCAGGCCTGTCCCCGCTGACGTGGAAGCGCTCTGGGGGGTCTTCAGGGAGCCCTGTGCGGCTCACAGAAGCCAGCGCACAGGGGACCCTCCCGGAAGGCACGCTTTTGGAGCCCTGCGCGCCCCTAACTGCTTCAGCACCCAGGGAGAGGTTGAGACTGGCCCACTCTCTGAACGAGATAAATGTAAGGGCTCGCAAAGAAAAGCTTGTCAAAGTGAAAGCAGAAAAGGACAGAAAAGATTCGAGGAGGTGGAGATGGACATGGCCTGTGGGCCCAGCTTTGGACGGTCCCTGGGCCCCCAAACCATCACTTGCAATCAAAGTGGGATCACCGTGCCTCAAAACAAGTTCCCAAACACGGGAATCTCTGAGTTGCGCGGGTTTAAACCTTTCCTGGGGATTGGACAGCACGGTGGACTCTGAGAGGGGCCTGGAGACTTCGGTCCAGGGTTGAGATGTGTGTGTGTGTGTGTGTGTGTGTGTGTGTGTGTGTGTGTGATGAGCCTTCTCCCCCCTGCTGTTTGCAGCCTGCATTTCTGATTCTCCCCCCCCCCCAGTCAGAAAGAAAGCTCAGAGAAAACAGGGTCCAGCAGAATGTGTTAAACTAAAAGTTTATAAATTAAAAGAAAAAAAATACAGCGCATAAAGCTTCCAAATTTCACAAATCTTTTAAAAGTTAATACTCTCTTGAGTGCACAGTGCCCTTCAGGAGGCGAGAAGCGGCAAGGTTGATACAACAGGTAGACTACTCACCTGTCTTGGGGACAGAGGTGGAATGGGATGGGGGACCGCCCAGGACGCAGGAGACTGCGGAGCTGGGTGGGACCACCCGCCCGACCCTGGGAGGGGGTAGTTGAGAGGGTCTGGGAGCGGGCACGTCAGGGGGACGCCAGAGAAAGGCAGGCCCGGGATATTCACATTGAATACAAAAATAACCGTCATTTGAATACAAAGAACCGCAAAGTGCTACAAGTCAATCTCCTTTTTAAAAAAGAAAAAGAAATAGAGAAGGTGGACGCAAAGGGCCCTAGGGTTCGGTTCTCTCTTGCTTGCAGGGGCTCCCAGAGGCCTGCCACTTGGGCTTGGCGCTGGATCTCAGCGAGGAAAGATGTGGAGGCCCCAGGCCCACCCTGCGCTTAAAAGCTTTCTTCCTGACAACCCAACACCCAATGGAGTGCGTCCCTGGCTCTAATATCAAAGCCTTTACGATTGAAATGAATCCCTGGCCTGAGAGGCTGCCTCCGGGCTGTCAGGGACCCGCACCCCCTTCGTTACAAATGCAATTTCCAAAAATAGATATGTAGATACACATAGATCGGTAGCATGGATACCATGAACTAGTGTGGCCAAGCGCACGAAGCTCCCGGCAGGCCGCAAACTCCGGCGGCTGGTCTCCGGGAGTTCTCTCCGCTCTGGGGGACGCCATCCCGGGCAGACACAACCCAAATCCAACGTCGTCGTGGGAATAAATAGTGTCCAGGGCCTTCCAAGTCCGGGCCGCAGAGTGCCTCCGTCCACTCCATCAGGAAAAGACGCCCCCGCTGGGCAGGCCAGGGCGCACAGCCTGAGCTCGGTTTGCGTCCCTTTTTGCCCCTTTGGCAGGGTATCCCATTCTGGGCACGACCTGCGCAGGCGTCAGCGACCGTCCGGAGCGAGGGCGTGGGGGTCCTTCGGCGCCTCGCCAGGCCGGGTCACTGGGTGCCCGCCGCGGCCGCGCAGGTGGACAGCGCCCAGCCGGGGAGGCAGTAGTAGGGGTAGTAGTAGGAGGGCTGCAGCGGCAGCAGCGAGGGGGGCCGGAGCACCTCCCCCGGCAGGTACTGTCTCTGGTCGTCGCGCACCAGCACCTTCACGGCCACCTTCTTGGCCGCAGGCGCCGAGGCCAGCAGGTCGGCGGCCATCTGCCGGCGCTTGGTCTTGTAGCGGCGGTTCTGGAACCAGATCTTCACCTGCGTCTCGGTGAGCTTCAGCGACGCGGCCAGGTCTGCGCGCTCGGGCCCGGACAGGTAGCGCTGGTGGTTGAAGCGGCGTTCCAGCTCGAAGACCTGGGCGTGCGAGAAGGCGGCCCGCGAGCGCTTCTTGCGCGGCTTGGGCGCCGCCGGCTCCTCCTCCTCCTCCGCGCAGCCCGCCTGGCTGCCGCCGCCCCCGCCGCCGCCACACAGCGCAGGCATGCGTGCACTTCCCGGGCCTATGCCGTCGTCCTCGGCCCGGGGGCTGCGGTCACCTGCAGACGCGAGTGGGTAAAAGAAACAGGACAGTCAGCTCCGCAGAAGGCTCGAGGCCAAACCGCAAGTGCGTGGTGGGGGATCTGGGCAGGGTGCTAGAAGACCGGAATGGTGGGGTGGCTCTGGAGGACACCCTGACGGACAAATGTCAGGGCCCGGCCCACTCAGTTCCCCTCATATCCTGAGTGACTGGCCTCTGTGTCCAAGCTTTGCAGCCAAGGACCAGCCCCTGTCCTCTCTGGGCCCCAGGCTTCTTCCCGCTGTAACCCGAGGTCCTGGATCTTGCAAGTTTTCCCTCAGCAAGGACTCAAGAGCTGGGCCTCACTGTGCGCATCAACCGCCTCCCTCCACTCGCGTTGGCACGCGCGCCCTGGCTGTGGTAGCCGGGACATGCGGGGGCGACTTGTGGGGCCAGAGCTGCTACAGAGTCCCCGGGGTTGATTCTAGGACTAGAGAAACAGGCCTGCTGCGGTAACTTGCCCCCGCCCCAATCCATTTTCTGCCTCTGAGCAGGAGGACTGGGCGACAGAATCTGCAAGTCCCTGCCCCAATCTGGACAATGTTAACCCGCAGATCCTCTAGTTCCCCGCCGCCATCCAGCGTTCTGATCTCCGTTAGCTCGTGTTTGGGGCCAGAGTGCGGCCTACGGTTCACAGTGCCTGCCAGGGACGAGCCCAGGGTTCTTTGGGACCATAGGTGGCGCCAAGTGAAGGCCAAAGGGACCCCTCTCCTGGCGGCCACCAGGATGACCTAAACCAAAGCCCAGCGCGTTTCGCCAGTTGCCACCGTAACCTCCCAAATTTGGATCCTCCGCCCAGCGTTGCTTTCTGGGGTCGGGGTCTGAAAACGCTCTTTCCAAAGCTTCAGCCTCAGACCTACTTGAAAGCGTTCCTCATTACTCATCCCTGAGGCCGGGCGCTGGACCCTGGGGCCTCGGCTCGGGGGCTCGGGAGTGTCCCTTCTATCTGTATCGGGAATGAACCAAATAAGGTCTCAGGGCCACTTACTCTACCCGATTTGGAGGATCAGGGGCCCACAAAGGCCGAAAACACTTGCGATCAACTTAGAGGACGCCTCCACTCCTGCTCAGCTAAGGGGTGGATTTTCTCCCCATTCCCATCTAAGACATTTCGTCTCAGGTGGTCCAGGGCCTTGCTCCAAGATGCAGGGGTCCGCGAAGCGCCCCAGCCTGTAGAGGGCTCCGCTCCCTAAGAGCTAGGGCAGCCGAGGGCAGCGCGCAGAAGTCGGGGCTTGGCGAGCTCATGTGCCTCTGACACATTGCTCGCCCACGACTGGGGTCCTCCTCGCCCTACCCACTTGAGACGGGGTGCCCTCCTCACCCATCCCCACAGCACGTCCCCTTTGCCCGCGAAGTCTCAGCCGACCTGCAACACTGGCGGACATCTCGCTGTCGCTCCGGCCCGCGGTTTCCTCCTCCAGGTCTTTAGTGGCGGGAAGCTCGCAGGCTGGCTGGCCGAGGCCCAGGCTTCCCTCGGCGCGGCCGGCCCCGCGGGTCCCCGGTGCGTCGGCGCAGCGGCGCCCGCCCTCGTTCTCCTCGCTGAGCGAGTCCGAGTCCCAGGCTCCGGGGCTCACAGCGGTCCGTCCCGCCGCTGTTCTGGTTCCGGCCGGAGACTCCAGCAGAGAGTCCTCGGCGCCCCCCAACACGCCCGCGTCCTTCTCCCCAAAGAGCCTCCAGCAGCAGGCAGCGGGCGCCACAGCCACTGGCGCGGCAGTGCCCCCGGGCGCCGGGCGCCCTTCTGGCGCAGGCAGCCCGCCGCGCTCCTCCTTCTTGTTGAGAATCGCCTGGATGGAGAAGGGCGTCAAGGTGCTGGCGCCGCGCACAGCCATCTGCACGGCGGGCCGCAGGAGGCGGCCGG